ACCTGGGGATTAAGCCATGTCTTACACATTCTCAGTTACAGTGTTTTCCTCTGCTGTTAAACAGGAATATGAAAAAGTTGGACAATTACTGGCCAGGAGTGTCACTGCTGAAGAATGAGCATATAGAAACATGCATGCCATCAGAGGCACTGATTTCCACTCATCCTTAATTCAGCAAGTTTGCTAATTATAAGCATTTCAGAGGTACAATACATCTGGATACCTGCTGTTCTTGTTCAGTTCCGAAACTCTTCCAAGGCTTGTAAATCCATCCTCTTTATTGACATTAAAAATTAATTTTTTAAAAAAAAGAAAAAAAAAAAGACTCAGGGTGGGTCCTTTGCAGATTTCCTGGCACAAACCCAGCAGCAGGGTTCCCAGCTCCTGCCAGTTCAGCATGGACTCTGACCACACTTGTCCAGAGCAAAAGACAGACATCACCAAAGGGATGGCACAGGGGGGAGTGGAAATCATCACTTCTAGCAATTCCACTCCAACCAAAGAGGAAACAATGGCAGTTAAACAGGAAGAGTGGTACACAGTGACTGGCTACAGGAATAAGTGCAGAAGATAGTTTGGGAGCTTGCCTTGCCCATGGAGGAGTTTGGTGGCAAGACTTGATCTGGAACATGACAATGATGCCAACTCCTGTAGTCTCCCAAAGACTTTTAATTTACTGCACCACTAAATTAAACTGTGTCACAGCCTCTAAGACAGGACCATCCTAACTCCTGATCCATGCCTAGGAATGGTTTGCAGTAGTTGGCACAGGCTAAAACCACGCCCAGAGTCATTCCAGAAGCTTCCCAGATGAAAGATATCATCCAATGCATAGAAATGCCCTGTGCACAGGCCAGTTTGCTGGCAAAGACACGACTTAACTTCAAGCAGGCACACAGGGACCTCTGCCCTGGAGAAGGCACCACTGACAAACCTGCACCATGCTGTGTGTATGGACACTGCACTCCTGCCTGTGCAGATCTGCCAGTGCTTTGTCCTCAGCATGAGACCAAGGGTGTGTGTATGTGTTTGAAAACAGAGAATGGCCTTACTTGTGCAGCAAACCAAAACTCACTAAAGGTCTTCATCATTCAGCTCCATAAAAATCCCCCTATACTTTTTTCATGCCTGCCAAGGAAGCTGATTTATGTGCAAATACTTCACCAGCTTTTCAAACACAACTATTTCCAAAAACAGTCCTGGGCTTTAAAAAGGTGAAGTTTATCCCAGAGACGTGCAGCCTCGGTCACCCAGAGGTGCAGCCCTGGACCCAAATTCTCACTGCAAGTCAGTGGCAAAGCTGGGAACAGAACGTCCTGAACTTTTTCTGTCTCTTCTTAAACTTACAAGCAGTTTTATAGCAGACCATTCACGAAGTCCTGAAGACACTGACGTCATTAAACCTACCAAGAATATTTTCCTATAACAAAGTAGTGTCTCCATCCATGTAACAGCAGGTGACTTTATTACAGGATTTAGAACAAGCAGAACTCTAGCATACCACGTTTTGAATTCTAAGATACATTACTGGATACCTCTAGGAAGAAATCCCCACTGTATTTGGCAGGAGATCTTTCCCCTTCTTGGTTGACATGTATTTATACAGTGGGTATACAAAAATAAATGTTATAGTGCAAACCACTTACAACAAACGTAGCCAAACCAAGTTCTAAATACACATTAATTCCCCTGAAGTAAGAAGACTTATTAGTTTTTTCCAGTGGGTGAAGGTAGCAACTGGAATTGGGAGGCAACAAAGAAGCTTATGGAAAGTAATCCTCAGGGTGGGAAGTTTTAAAAGTTTGTAATACACACTCAAAAAGTAGAATCTTTTTTCCTCCACTCCGTCTTGACCCATCTGAGATTTTCTGTTTGAGCAAAAATGAGCTGGCTAGCCACTCACAGCTTGGAAAGCTCTGATCTGCTCCACACCACCAGCCTCCACCCAACAATTGTACAAGTTGCCATCAATAGACGTGTACACATAACCCTTAAGTATTTGCTTCTGCTACCACAGAAAATTACACTAAGCTATAGCAACCATCACTTCTGGTAAGCATATACAAGAACCTAGAAAATAATTAAGGCAATGAGAAATCAACTGTCACTGTATCCCAGCCCAAAGAGTTCCTCAGGACAGTTTAATTACATTATTACTTCATTTTGAAGTATAAGAGCCTCTTTCCTTACAACAAATAGCCAATACAAGTCCCAAAATCACATGCTTTTTCATTTGGAAATTTTAGTTAAGATCTTTTTCTTGAAATCAATCAGCTGTTCAAATTATTTAGCATATCTTGATTGTTTCAAGCACAGTCCATTTAGGAATAGAAGTAGGCTCCTTCACTGAACAGTCCAGTTTGGGGTTATTTTTAAATATAAGCACTTTTCACTGCTTTACAGTAAAATCTACATTCTTTTTAAAAAAAAGTGACCATTTTGAAGGATATTCCACAAACATTCACTCCTTTACTGCTACAGCTCTGCTTTGGTCTGTGTGATCAGTACAAGACTAGACAGTTCTCTCACATACAATGTAATATTGACTTAAAGAATGAATATCCAACAAAATCCTTTTCTGTGATTATGTCATTATTGAGATGTAAGTTCTGGTGGTGGATGGCCATGAATACTATTTCCAAGCTGACTCCTTAATGCATTAGAGCAAAGCAAAGAACTTATGCTCAATATATTCTTCAGTTCTCCTACCATGAGGCCTCTTAATGGATTTCCTACCTCCTTGTTTGAGCCACAGGGCTGTACACTCTTGTTGAAGTCACCTATGTGAGCAGGGAACATCTGGTTCATGAAAAACAAACTGAAATTCCAGTCAAAGTGACCACTTCAGCTTTAACATCACTTAAGTTTAAATAAAATAGTATCTAAGTGAATATAAGGCCTACAGGTTTGCAAGATGTGTGGCTTTTCAAGTAGGCTTAGCAGACCTGCAGTAGGATCTCAAAAGACAGAAGTCTCTCCCTTTTCTGCCCAGTCACACTTCTCTCTCCTTTCTTTAGCTGTTCAGTACCTCCAGCTTCTTCTCCTGCATTCGTTCGTAAAAATCAGCCACCTGGGCTTTTTTTTTAGAGAAGTGTCAACCTCTTAAAAGTATCTTCACAGTGCCTCAAAGCAACAGGTACAACATTTCTGGTTTAAAAATACCAGTTCTTACTGGATGAGTAGGATTTAGGGGTTTTGAAAACTACATCCAACTAGCTGTATTTAAATACTTCAGTACTGGCACAAACAGTAAACTTGTCCACCTGCCCTGACTCAAGCTGTATGTTCTCAAAATAGAGCCCACTATATCCATCTGGAATTGGAGTTCCAAAATGTAAGGCCCTCCCATAATCATCAGATTACTTGAAAACATAAATCCTTTATTATATAAACTTTGCTTTCTATTATCCCTCTTGGCCTTTTACAACAAGTTCTACTGGTGAAATAACAAGAATCCTGAAAGAGAGCACTACACCCTGATTTTTCCCATGAAATCATTCTTTGAGGACCACACCACCATGCCTCAAGGCTACATCAGGGCTTTGTCACCACGACTGCCACACTAACTCTGAAGCTCTTCCCACTTCCTTAGCTGAAAGCCCACTTGCAGGCACACCCCTGCAAAATCCTTTTCTTGCTAAACTAAGTGAACAACATCTGGAAAGCAAATGGAAAGGGACTGTTCAACTGGCTCCCCCTCATCCAAATTACACAAAAAAAAACAAATCAGGGAAATTCCCAACGTATTTTTGTTTCTGCTTTATAACCTCAGCATTTAGGTATTTTAATATTGATCTGAGACTATGCCTGCAGGGCAAGATGTGACCTTTTGAGTTTAAACCCAGTGTAAAGCACCAAACAGTTTTGTTATGTAACACTTGGGTTTTCAGCACGCTGCTCAAGCTCCAAAGTTCTCCACAAATCATTGCAACAGTACAACATGCAGATATGTAACAGCCACATGATCCCTCTTCATAAAAATAAGTAATTTTTAGATGCATCTTTCATTCTTACGTCTATAAAAATTTAGCAATTTGAATAAATACTCATATTTCTGAGTACAAGGGTTATAGCCAAATACAGTTCAAAACACTCAAGTATATGACAAAGCCAAACTCTTTAAGCATTTTAGGTTTGAGGGGTTTTTTTTTAAGTCCTGTTCAGGCACTTGCAATTGCACCAACATCAGAAAGGAACGTTACAGATGATGATGCAGGCACCACTTCAGAGACATGAACTTCCCAGTGGTAAAAACCAGATCTAACAATTCACTGCTCAAAGCCTCAGATTCCAAACAGACTTTCCAGAGCTTTTTTTTTTAAAAAAAAAAAAAAAAGAAAAAAGAAAAGGAAAAAAAAAAGTTGCCAATTCACAAGCAATGCCAGCTCATACCTTTGTCAGCACGCTTTGGAAAATAAATTTGACTTGATGAAACCTTGGGCAGCTTGACCTAGCTTTTAAGTTGTCTTCGCTTTGAACAAGGAACTGGATCTACAAAGGTCCCTTCCAGCCTAAATTATTCTGCAATTCTGACACCCAAGAAGTTCAGCAAGTCACAGAAGTCTGATTTCCTTGTGGAGCCTCAAGCTTCATGGTTAGATGCTCTGGTGCCAGCACAGTGGGAGGTTGAATTGTCCCACAGGCTCCTTCCTCTGCAGACTGTCCTGCACCTACAAGGACACAGCTCAAACTGGAGCCCCCCAAAAGGTCACTAACAGGGTCTTTCTCAACATGACTGCCTGCTTCATCCCTTAGGCAGTCTTTTTCTTCCCAGCACAAACATCCTGAAACAAGAAAGGCCCTCACCTTGTGCTGCCCAGATTTGTCAGCACAAGTCTTTCCTATATCATGAAGAAACACTGATGTCAGCTCCACTAGGGACTGCAGGAAAAGCCTACTGTGTGCAAATTCCCCAGATCTTGGCCATCCCCTGTTACATCCACTTCTACTGTTAGTCCAGCCACAGGCCTCCTAGGGAATAACATTAGTCCAAACCTGACCTGATTCCTCTGGGCTATCTTTTGTCCTTTCTTCCAGCGGAGAACGGGCTTGAGGGGAGGTAGCTCCTTGTCCTCTCTTCCTCTTTCTATCATGTGTTCCCCAAGGCTGTATGCAGCTTCAAATACAATTGGAGATATGACATCTTTGACTCTCTTCTGTAAAAGAAAAACAGATCTTTCACCTACACATATAGGCAAGCAGATTTTTTATGTACACCAATTACACATATAATTAAATCAAATTTTTACATTCAACACTGCAGACAGGAAGCAGGCTTCTTTACTTCCTTTTATTCTTTTCCATGCCAAACAGGAATAAGCACATTATATTAAAACAAGTCAGAAGATTAAAAAAAATCAAAAGCCAACAAAAAAAATTAGTTATTCTTTCGAGATCTTGGTTCCATAGAAGCAGCGGCCTATTTGGCACGCCCATAAATCAAGTGTTTTTCAATAAACCCAAGACATTTTCTTAAAAAAATTAAAGAGATTAAGTAGTATTTCCATTAGTCCTGCAAAAATAAGGAAGCAAGGAAGAAATAATGTTCATCTCTGGGGTTTCTAAATCCTCCACTTTGAGGTCACCTCCAGTGTGCTCCACTCAGTGAAAGAGAACTCCACCTTGCCTTCCTGTTTTGCAATATCAATTAAATGAACGGATGGGTAAAAATACCAATGGGGCTATAAAACAAGACTACAGACATACAGGGGCAAGAAAAGCCATCCTCAGCACAGTAAGTTGCAGGACATAAAGGAAGAAAGTTTCTCAGTTTCTTTATTTGCTATAGTCTAGGCTTCATACCAGATGTATGAAGTGGTGCCACATTGCTCAGCTGATGGGACGAAAGGATTGCCTTTTCTTGTTGTTGGAGCCCAAGCCACAAAACTCATCCATTCATCTAAATCCAGTTTGCTGTGTGAGGACAAAACACTCATTGTGCTCTGTTCAATCCTGAGTTCCAAAATCCAATTTACCAGAAAACAGAGGCAGCAAACACTTCACCTTTTCCTAGGCAAACATTCCTCTTCAATTTTAGCTACTTAAAAACTTCATGTGAATTCAGCACAGACAAAATTGAGGCAATAAATGAATACTCTAAGTAAACACACCAAATTTTCAAACAGGCCAACTCTCAACCTCTCCCAGCATCAACTAGCAGCCTTCTCTGAACAAGGCCTGCCAACCATAACAAGTTATTGAGATGCAGTGCAATTCAAACCGTGTCTTCTAGATGTGGGAAACCTGGGCACTAACTGGCTTTCCAACCACCTGGCTTGATCTTTTTCAAGGAAGCCAATTGCTCTAAGATGTTGACTGGCCACAGATCTCTGAAGTTCCAAAGCACATCTGAGGTTTCTGCTTTCTTGGTAATGGACACCAATGGACAGTGGACATAGCAGCGGCTCTGTGACCTCTTCCCCGTCCCATAAAAAGGACCATTCATGCTTTGGGACACTGCTAAGCCCCTTGACAGAAGAGACACCAACACCTTCAGCTCCTTCCCCAGTTCCACGCTCAGCGTAGGCATCACACCATGCTGAGATGACTAAATAATATGACAAATCACAGAAGCTACTCACTTTGCTCTCACAGAAAATCAAGTTTATTAACCTGAGGATTGTATCAGCATACAAGAAAACTACATCTACAGAGAAACAAGACTATAGAAGCATCTGCCGTGCAGCTACAAACAATAAATCACCAGAGGAATCACCACCCAGTCCAACCGTATGCAACCAACTGTGTAAACACAGAACAATTAGAAACGTAGGGAGTGAGACAAATTAAAATCCACCTATAGTTTTTCTAGCTCTGTCACTGCAGTATGGCAAGAATAAGTGCTTAATGACTTCTCAGTGTTTTAATATGATCTTGCAGGGTTCAGTCCAATGCCTTTTGAAGTCAAAAGGCAAGTTTCCCATTGACTTCAATGAACATTGGAGCATGCCCATATTGTTTGCTGGTGTCTCTTTCTGTTTCATTTTAGTGGTGAAATCATGACTTCCAGCAGCTAGATTAATTACATGTGTGGCTATTCCCTCACCACAGCCCTGGGGAGATATATTTCACATACCCACTTGTCTTTAATTAAGGATGAAAGTATGAATGCTACCCAGTTATTAATTTTGCCACATGTTCAGCCCCTTCTGCTTATAATCCTACAAACATGAAGGCAACAGTCTGTAGGATTTGTCCTTAGTAAGACAGACAAGACAGTTCTGCCTTGCAGGTACACCACAGACTGTCTGGGTCGTGAGCATGGAAAGAGAATAATGAATATTTGCCCAAATGCAATCTGGAGAAATACTATTTTAGGTTGGCAATATACCCAGTTTCTCTCAGTCTACCCAGATGTATCACTTTCAGTGGTTGAATCACACACTGATGACACAACCCACAGACTGCTTTTAAATATTCCTGATTTCTAAAAGGAAGTCAAAAGATACAATGATAATCAGGTTTGAGATAGATCAAAAAAAATCCTTCAAGTCAAGGAAACTTTGTGTTCTTTTCATATCATGGCCCTGATGAAGTAGATTCGCCATGGGAAATCATTTCTACAAGCAGCTTTTATACATATTCACAGTTTTTCACCAGGACACTGCTATGCTGAGGAAGTGTCGAAGGTTAAAGACACTTCAGCATCATGAAATAGCATCCCTGGCAAATCATAGCAAGGACAGCAATTAATGGAAAAAAAGGTCTGGAGAACATTAAAACAAGTGTAATATCCAAGGAGTTCTCATTATTGAGAGAAACAACCATGTACCAAGGGTTCAGTGAGTAGCAGCAATAAATATCCAGTCTGTACAGACTGATGTCACCAAACTGCTGAAAGGTTTCACTGTGCCTTAATGAGACTGGAAACTCAGCTTCAGGTCCCCAGTCAGTCATCAGCTAGCATATGTAGTTTTCTTGTTCTTACAAGGATTTTCTCTAAGGTGGTGGCTTTTCTTCCTTCTCTTTCAGACAAAATTTCGTTGTGGCCAGAAGCTTATGCAATAAGGCTTTTGCAGAAATCAATACACTTCAGTCCCAGTAGCTTACCCTTCTGCCAGTATCCCTTCCTGCAGTGGAAACAGCCCGAGCCAGCTGTACCTTTTCAACAGGATCTTTTATCTTTTCCTGTGAAGCATGTCGTGTGGCACCACTCTGAGTTGAAGAAAAAGGTGTTTTGGTATGAACTAGCTGGGTTTTAATCAGAGCTATTACAGAATGGTCCCTCCCTAGTACCTACCAAAGACAAAGAACTCCAGGTCCAAAATGAGCACGCTTTGAAGAGCATCTAAGACAGCAATAAGGGGCAAAGAAATGTTTCAAAAGACACCATGGCCTTGAAAGCTGATCCTAACAAAGAGCAGCCTTGCCACCTCCTCTCCAAGAGCAATCACCAGAAAGAAATACACAGTTTTTAAATGCTGTAGTAGAAGCTGGGCACAGCCACATATTTCTTCCTTTTTGTCTTCTGGCACAGCAAGGGAGAAGACAGCGAGCAAGCAAAGCCTTTGCCAGATTTCTGACTGCCTTCCTGCTTGGCTGTAGCACTAAATACTCCTAAAAATCTGAAAAGTAATCGGCGCAACGATCACACGTCGGAGCTGTGATTCTGACCACCGCTTCCAACCCCTCTCCAAGAGGGAGTGTGATGACTGTAGGAAATCATTTTCTCTCTGTTTCACAGGCACAGCCTGAGGCACATCCTGACAACACAAACACAGGCACAAATCCCAACATCCCAAAGGCACACCGCCTGGGCAGGCAGCCACTGCCTTCTCCAACCCCAGCTCGGTGCTACCAAGAGCCCCCACCCCACCCCATCAGGAATTTGGGCACACTTGGATGGAACAAGAGAGGATTTTAGTCAAAGGATAGAATTTACTCTGCTCGTGGTGTGAGTGGTTGCCAAAGAGGACTGGATATCATTTCAGCTTGCTTTCAGCTCAGTGCCACAGTACAGTCAGGGGACTCTACACGAGCCCAGTAAATCATCACGTCTAATCCCCTTTCTTCTACAAGGTGAAAGTCTCCAGCAGGGGCTCTCGAGAATGCCAAACTCAATTTTTAATTACGGCCAATGGGCTCAGAAATAAATTGAGATGTAAATAATTCTACCATCTACAGCAAGAGTCCTGCATGACTGAAGGATGAAATGTGGTCCTTTAAAGCTATGAAGTCATTCTGAACAGCATTGAGTGAGGAACCATCAGGGTGACTTCTATGGCTGTCCCTTGCTTATGTCCTTCTGGATTTTCTCTCATCTTCCTCTGTGGGAAAGTTCTCTGATCTGTCAGGCCTTTTTTCTACTCCCTCTGACATGATCCTGAGGACATCAACCCAGGCATAGATTCCAGGGCTTTCACTGAATTGAGCATAGCTCTTCAGTACTCCTGAGAATCAAGCTCTGTTTAGCTTGATGACTAAGAATGAATTCAAGGACCTGGCTTTTAAAACCCTCAACTTGAAACTTTTAGTCTAAACATATTTATTTCAAGTTTTAAACAAGCACTAATAATAGACTACAGGAATTTTTACAGCCTCAAACACAAAATGAATTTGACAATCCTGATTAAGTAGATAAGATATTAATGTTGTACAATGTAGAAAAGCCATTGTGCTAATGCTAATCCAGTGTAGCACTTTAATCAGCTCACAGGTCACAACCACCTAAGTCTTCAACTCAGTGCCAGGAGATAAATAGTTCCTTATTCAGTGATACCAAAAAATGACTCAAATATCCACCAGCCTTCAGAGCCAAAGGTCACTATTTCCACAATTTATCAAATGAAATATCAGCTGTAGGTCTTCATAAACATACATTATGGCTTATGAATCAATAAGATGACAGTGCTTGACTTTAAAATTAATTACCTTCTCCTACTATCTCAGCCTCCCTCTCTAACCCATGAGTCATTCAGGATGCAAGGCTTAAGTGCTATGCAATTCAATGAAAACATCAATTAGACAAATTGGCTTTAAACTGGAAGACAGATTTCCATTGATTTCAGCCAAATTAATGTGTACATGTCACTCTTGTACCTGAAAATGAGTAAGGAATAACTTTACTTCCTTGGCCTGTTCCTTGCAACACGTACTAAGTCCAAGTTTAGATCCCTCAATGTCAATTCCCAGTGCAAGTTAATACTTGTAACCTTCC